TGGTATTTTTAGTAGAGAGGGGTTTCACCATGTTGGCCAGACTGGTCTCAAACTCCTGACCTCAAATGATTTGCCTCCCTGGGCCTCCCAAAGCGCTGGGATTACAGGCATGAGCCACCACGCCCGGCTGAAGCAGTTAATTTGATGGGAGCACAGAACTGCTACAAGTAGACATACCCTCATCGATAAGATGAGGATATTCTATCCCACCCACAAGCCCTCCACTTCTCATAGGTTTACAGGGCCATTCCCTTCAACATTCCTCATACAACATGACGTCAATTCCCTTTTCACTTTAGCTCTCTCCTTTAAACCTCCTCTCATTCTCTTATATCCTCTCACATCAAAATTAAATGCAATGTTGCATGTGTCACTCTGTGAACAACGACTGGAGCCTGTGTGTAAGAGGCAGCCACAAACTCAAACACTTCCAGGGACAGAAAGGTAGAGTAACTGGGTAAAGAAAGCAAGTATAAGACAACAAGAAATAGTGCGCCTCAGGATGAGTAAATGAAGAGAAAATGCCCAGCCAAAGCCATTCTTGCATCAATCATGAGAAAGGATCCAATATTCTGACCCAGATGATTTGCGTAAGTCAGTCAAGACATGGCATTTTCGCCCAATATGACTGAAAGAATGGATAGTTCATATTTTAGGGAAAGATGTCTTCATCCCTCCTATTGGACACAAACAAGGACGCATGCACCGCCATCTTGCCACTGGCCACCACCTTACAACCCTGAGAGGAGCAGGCCCCGCCTTGAAAAAATCAGGATGGAAACATGGAAGGCGCTTGAGTCCTTGATGATGCCACGAATCACTGAACCAACCAGTCCTAGAGCGTACCCTAACTTTAATTTCTGTATGAGAACAAATGTTTTCCTTGTTTAAGACAGTTTCAGTTGGGACTTCTCATCTCACCCTCAGCAGCATCCCAGAAAGCACAGAATTCAGTTTTTAAGTGCTGTGATAACCAAATAAGACGTGTCCAGGTGCAAGACAGAACCCTTGTGCATTGGATATGTGAGGTATACTGTAAGTGCAAAATACTCCCAGATTTTGAAAGATTTAGTGAAGAAGAAAAAGAAAAAAAAAGGATCTGATTAATACACTTTCTATATTGATTACATCTCAAAAGAATAATATTTTGTGTATGTTGTTTTAAATAAAATATATTCAAGTCAGTCTGCCTATTTCTTATCTTTTTTTAATTTGCTTATAGAATATTAATATTACATATGTGTTCACATTGTATTTCTATTAGACAGCTCTGATCCAGTTATTGTACTTCTTCCAATCAGAATGAAGACATTAGGTCTCTCAAAATTATCTACTAATACTTCATTTACTGTCCACAAGAGTCTCTGATCTCTTCTTAGCCTTTCTAGAGCTTAATCATTCTCTCCATACTGTTTTCTGCAGTTATTTTCTTAAGTGAGGAAATTTATGTTGATCCTAATTATAGCTTATAAGTCCATTGCTGCAGGCCAATGGTTCGCCAGAGGACATGCTGGAAATTTGTGGGGGCAATTTGGGTTATCACATAAGCGGGAGGGGCACTATGGCATTTAGTGAGCAGGGGCTTGGATATTGCATATTCGATAAGAGAACTCTCTCACTTCCCATTCCCACATGCCAATCCCTATACCTATATATAAAACTGGCCAGAATCTGATTTCATTTTACTTATAAATATAGGTATTTTTTGCACAGCGCTAATGTAAATGAATTCTCCAGGAAAAGTGACTGCTGTGTAAATCAAGGGAAAGGTATACTTTGTTTTGCTCAGAACTTCAGAAGTTATTCATCATTTAGGAAAATCACACATTTACAACAGTGGCACTGCTGCTATATGAGTCACCAGAGTAGCTCAACTGCTTTGATCCACATTTGAGCTGCTCCACTAAGATAATTCCATGCACAGGTACTATTAGGTTGGTGCAAAAGTAATTGCAGTTTTTGCAATTAATAATATACCTGTTAAATTTGTATTTCACAATGTCAAATATAAAGAAAAAGTGTCAACAATATTCAGTTGAATATTGTCTTCTCTTAAATCCAAACTAATTCATTACATCAGAGGCAAGCATCTAAGTACAATCAGTTCTGATATAATATAATATATGCATTCCTACAAATCACTTCACTATGCAAAATCACGCGATAAAAAACAGTGTTTATGGGGAAATGAAATTAGAGGCATAACACTCAAACACTTCAATATTGATGCAGTTAGAGAAAAGAAACAAATAAAAATGGTTGCACAGTTTTACAGATGTTAAACGGTTAAGAAATAAGTACTACAATGCACATGGTACTTCACCTTGAAAAAGACCGAAAGTTTGCTTGTGTACCTATGGGCAGTGGAAAAGTACAGCTTTTGAGTTACTGTGGGGAGTCACTCAGAAGCTGTACCTTTCTGTGGAAAGGAGAGTTGTATGAATGAGAAGACAGGGTGTAACACCAGTTGTAGGTGGGTACAGCTCACCACATGCAAAGAACTGAAGTTGCTGGAAGATGTTTGAGTTGTATGCAAGTGGACTCAGCTGGATGCAGTTTCCTGTGTTCACCTCGTGCTTCTCATGGAAGAAATCATGCACAAGCAAACGGAAATGTATATTTGTTCCTTCCTATATCAGTCGTGCTGTAATTAATTTGCATTTCCAAAACAAGTATTATGGCAGAACTGGTCATGTGTCATTATATTTCCTAGTGTGATTTTATTTTTTAATGCCTTTTGTTTCTCCTTTATACACATTTAGGGCTTTACATTAAAGTTTGGAAATTACATGTCTACGTGACTGAGACATTCAGTTCACAATAATGAAAGTGGCACTTCAAAATATTTCATATGAAAGTGGCACTTCAAAATATTTCATATAAAGAGGGTGTTGGGTCTAAAAGGAGTGAGAACCTCTAATCTAACCTACTGAGTAGTTGCTAAAGAATTGCATTTCTATGCATTTGTTACTCCTCTTTGGTATGTGCAATCCATAGACTTAACAAATGTGTCTCCCACAGAGCCATTCAAATCACTAAAATGAATTTTTTTTTCCAGGACAGGACTAACGAAAGAATTCAGGTCTTGCCAGTAGAAACCGCCCTCTCATGCATCCATTAACCAGCCCCCAGACATTCATTCAATCACAAAATGACTTCACCTCTCATATCTGTCCATTTTGCCCAGAAGGTTAGCAAAAGAAACCCTGCCGAGGGGCTTCCTGGGTTTAAGCCAGACCATGAAGCCAGACCATGAAAGCAGACCATGCTGCTTGCCACGTTCACATAATCCTCTGGCCTAAAATCCTCAGCAAATAGAGAAGCTCATGTCATTGAGCTTTTCTGGAAATGCCTGAGCCTGCTGATGTTCCTTTAGAAAATGGTGTCCTAAATGGAAACCGGTGTTCTGTGGTCTGACCAGCACAGGAAATACCACCACATGAATATAACACCTATTTTGATTTTGCTTTTGGTTTTTATAAATGGAGACATTTTCAAAAGAAAAGAAAAAATATATATATTGGGCTAGAGCAACAGTTTCCAAATCCCATCACCTGGGTAGTGTTTAAAAATACATAGAACCACTCCCTACTGCAGATCCACTGAGGCAGAATTTCTGGAGTTAGATCCCAGCAAGTGACATTAAAAACAATTTCTTCAGGAATTTCTGGTGTGCAACAATCACGCTTGGAAGCAAACATCTCAATCATTATCTCCTTCAAGTAGATATTACTAACTACTTGATAACTGGAAAGATAATTCCAGTTAGCTTTCCTACAATTGGAGAAGTTTAGGAATTTTTTTTTTTTTTTTTTTTTTTTTTGAGAGGGAGTCTCGCTCTGTCACCCAGGCTGGAGTGCGGTGGCGCCATCTCGGCTCACTGCAAACTCTGCCTCCTGGGTTCACGCCATTCTCCTGCCTCAGCCTCCTGAGTAGCTGGGACTATGGGTGCCCGCCACCATGCCCGGCTAATTTTTTGTATTTTTAGTAAAGACGGGGTTTCACTGTGTTAGCCAGGATGGTCTCCATCTCTTGACCTCATGATCAGCCGGCCTTGGCCTCCCAGAGTGCTGGGATTACAGGCGTGAGCCACCGCGCCCGGCCAGTTTAGGATTTTTTAACTAGTGAATGCTAATACACATGCCAACTACTGTGCTAGGGGCTGGGGCTTCAAAACCATGGTTTTCTAACTTATAAGAGATACACAGTCTAATACACAGTGTTGACTGCCATACAAGAGGCAAATGTTATGATAAAGCAGGTATTTCCCAACCTTTTTTCATTATTACCACAAGAAGAGTCATTTTAGATATCTTTTTCCTAATCTCTATCATAAAATGTTATATACTATATGTTTATGTGTTACGTATATCTACATTTTTTACATAAAAATAATCTTTGTGTTCTCCTTCCCAAATAACCAGTTTAAGTCCCTTGGGGGCAATATTACCTGCATTGAGAATGCATGTGATAAAGGTATATGGAAAGGATAAGGGGGCACAGTTAGTCAACTAACTGCCTGGGACAGTCAGGGAGGGCAGATGAGGAAGTGACACTTGAAGTAGGTTTTGTAGGATAAGTAAAAGTTTCCCATCTGAGAAAAGGGAGAGAAATTGTTTTAGGAGGAACAGCTCCCAAGCATGTTTGCTAAGTATTTACAAAGCATGGTGTGCTCTGAGATCTGCACATCCACAGAAAGAGTGGGGCATTTTTAAATACAGATATTAAAATACAATTTTCATTAAAAACTGACTCTTGGCCAGGCTCACGCCTGTAATCCCAGCACTTTGGGAGACCGAGGTGGGCAGATCACGAGCTCAAGAGATCGAGACCATCCCGGCTAACATGGTAAAACCCCATCTCTACTAAAAATACAAAAAGTTAGCTGGTCATGGTGATGGGCGCCTGTAGTCCCAGCTACTTGGGAGGCTGAGGCAGGAGAATGGCGTGAACTTGGGAGGTGGAGCTCGTAGTGAGCCAAGATGGCACCACTGCACTCCCGCCTGGGTGAAAGAGTGAGACTCTGTCTCAAAAAAAAAAAAACTGACTGACTCTTATGAGGCATCAAATCCTGGAATCCTTTGCAGGTGGGGTGAGTACACAGGGAGCAGAAACTGGAAAAACATTGAGTTAGTAAAGACAGGTACTTGGTGTCTTTAATTTCAGCCTACGTCTCAGATGGAAAGGCTCCTGAGTAATAAATAATAGAGCACACTTTGGGCATAGTTCATTCACTATTCTTCCAGACACATTTCGAATACCATTCAAAGCAAGTCGTGAAAGCTCTGATTAATATACAACACAGAGCTCTCTCTATATACTCTCAAGGGTAAAAATACTGCTGAAAAGTCAGTTCTTTTTAAAGCTGAGCATCTAACACCACCTTGTGAATGATAATAAATGGCAGGCTAAGCTGCAAGGTAGCCCAGCCCTCTGTCTGGGTCTGCAAGTTTTATTTACACAAAAATGCATACCCGTTCTTTGGCCAAGAGACCATGATCGTCTTCCGGTGAGATAAGATTTCCTATGGGACTCCTGGTATTTCACAATTCCAGCTTGGTCAGAAATAGCAACCCAAACTCTCATGGGTTTGTTTTTCTTTTTTTTTCTTTTTCTTCTTCTTCTTCTTCATAATTCCCATTCAAGCAACATTAGGAATGTACATGTATTTGCTCTTAAAATAATATTCCAGTTATCATTCCTACAATCGGAGAAGTTTAGGATTTTTTTACAACTTCAAATCATCCCACTAAGTATGGACATAGAAACTTAATATGAAAATGGAAACTCTTGAACTAAACATCTTCAGAAGGGTGGCATTTGGACATTCTAGAATGGAACATGGCAATACCAGTTTTAATCCAAGAAGACATTCTTCCGCGGGTGGTTCCTCTGAAACACAAGCAAGCTGCTTGCTTCTTGATGGTGGTATACTTGTCCTATTCACAGAAGCCTATAGCATGATGAAGTAGAACTTGCTGGCAACTGGGGCATTTGTCTTACCATACTTTAAGAAAACCACCAAAAAACAGCCATCTGGGTGCTCTGAGAATCAAAACAGGCGCTGTATGTGAATGCAATTCACAAATAGTTTTGGACACTGGTCACTCTCTCTTCTAGGCCCTTCAACACTTAAGCAAATACCTTGTGTAAAAAGTCCTTCTCATGGTCTTTATCCGCAGTCACATCTTTTTCCCACTTTTTTATGGGCTTCTTGAAGACAGAATCTGTGTCATCATCATCGTATCTCCAGCAGTTACAAGAATGAGGCACCTTATCAGCATATCTTGAGAAAGTAGACAAAAGAATGAATGAATACATGAAGAACGAACTAGAGGAAGTCAGGACGTTGCCATAATACTATGAGAAGACTTGTCAATCAATAAGGCTATCTCCCCACCATGACAAGTAGCTAGAAGGAGAGTCCTACATACTAAATGCTAAAACCACCAACAAAACCAGGAGAAAGGCAACCCTCCAACACTTCCCACTCAAAATAAAATTCCCTATCTACAAAAGGATTGTGTTGTCAACTTTCCATACTGAGTGGTCCCCCACATAGAGGGGAACAACACACACTGGGGCCTGTCAGAGGGTGGAGGTTGGGAGGAGGGAGAGAAGCAGGAAAAATAACTAATGGATATAAGGCTTATAACCTGGGTGATGAAATAATCAGTACAACCAACCCTCATAACACACATTTACCTACATAACAAACCTGCACATCGTGCACACGTACCCCTAAGCCTAAAATAGAAGTTAAGAAAAAAAAATGGCCCCCATATTTCAGCAGTTACTCTGAATTAAGAAGTTAGACACCTGGCTTTCAAAATATTATGTGCAACGAAGCTTAATTGTGAGGATAGGTTAGATGCCAGCATCTCTGTCACCAGAAATGCAGGAACAAATGTGGAGGAAAAAAAAACGTAAAGAACACAAAGCCATCCTAAGCTCCACAATAACCTTAGTCAATGAGTAATGCCCAGTGAGTATAAGGTGAGAGCTAACTTTTTTCTACTTGTAATGTACATTTTATCCATTTAGTTGCTCAATACCTATATTAGCCTTTTGGAGTATTTAGCAGTATATTAGTCTGCTAGTGCTGCTAGAGCAAAGTACCACAGATTGGGTAGCTTAAATAACAGAAATTTATTTTCTCATAGTTCTGGAGGCTAGAAGTTCAACATCAAGATGCTCGCAAGTTGGTTTCTGGCGAGGCCTCTCTTCTCAGCCTGTAGATAGCCACCTACTCACTGTGTCCTCATATGGTGGAGAAAGACAGATCTCTGTATCTCTTCCCCTTTTTATAAGGACACCAGTCCTGTTGGATTAAAGCCCCACCCATATGATCTCGTTTAACCTTTATTATTTCCTTAAAGCCCCTCTCTCAAAATCCAGTCATATTGGGGGTTTGAGCTTCAAAGTATAGGTACGGGGGTGAGGAGATAAATTTAGTCCATAACAAGCAAACAAACTAAATTTAATGCATACGTTTTTCATTCCTTCATCTATGAATATTTATTGAAGAACTACGGTGTATCAGATGCTCACTAGGTGATAGAGACACAGCAGTGCCCAAGACAGCCATAGTCCCTTTTAAGCCTCATGGAGCTTTTCATTCACTACTAGAGATAGGAATTAAGCACCAAACTATACAACTAATTTCTAAAGTGATAATGGGGAGGAAGAATTAATAGTATAAGACAAATATAACAAGCATAACTCAGAGCCTATAACTTCATGTGCAAATTGAGATGTTTGGTCATGTGCAGGGCACCACAAAAAATACAAATTTATATCATGGGTGAAAAAAAAATGAAGAGAAAACCAGTACTCGTGAACGAAATACGATTGTGTCTGCCCTCTCCAATTCTAATAATTAGAATTCCATCTATTTCAGTGAGTACCGTTCAGCACTAGATGTATTTATTTCTTAATGGTCATTATGGGCCCAAAGATAATTATAGAAGGATATTGCAGCATTGCTTGTAGAAGAAAGAGTAATAACCAAGTGTCCATCAAAGGGGAATTGGGTACATGCATAGAATACCTCTATACAGTATTCAAAAGAAGAGACTAGGGCTGTATATACTAATATGAAACCATATACTAAAAAAAATTATTGCATTTAAAAAAATGAAGTGTAGCATGACTTGTAGAGTGTGTGTGAAATTTCAGGAGAGTCGTATAGATTCAAGTAGACTTGCACATACACAAACTATCTCTGGAAGAATATATGAAACAGGATGACAGCCAGCAGTTGTTGCCTCAAGAAGGGTAAGGGGGTGTATGAAGGTCAGGAGTAGTAAAGAGACATACTTTTACTACAGTTGAAAACGTATATCTTACTAGAGAAAACATGATCTCAAACAGCATATATGAAGAAAAGTTGTGTTAACCAACAATAGAAGCTCATTTTGTAATCTGCTCCCATCTCCAATGTGTTTGCTTAACAGGATTCTCTAAACATTTAGACATAAGGTAAATAGAATTAGATGGGTAGAAGGCAAGGTTTAAATACCACTGGGGGAAGTTGGAAGTTGGAGAGTTAAAAAGGTGAGGGGTGAGAGATTCCTATGACCAGTAAACAAAGACGTATGTTTGGAGGATGAAGCTTTGATTAGAAAACGTAGTTTTAGGTGGTATACAGCTACTTTGTTGGATAAAAAGTGATTCACATAATGAGACAATTATTCCCCTTTCAAGTCTTTTTTTATGGCTCAGTTATGATCAAAGAAGTCTCAGTGTGGTGAAAATATGTCTTTAAGACCTCTGGACACTTTCCTGAAGTTAAAATTCAATAACACTGTTTTGATTTCACTGTTTCTATTCACAAATACCCTTCTTAGGGCAAGTGACTCTAGTTTCCCACTGACGTATTTTTTCTAAAATAAATGTCCTTAATTTTGATTTTTTAATGAGCCATTTTTAATGAAAATTTTAAGTAATATAAGAGGCGCAGAGAGATAGCAAAAATTATAAACAGGAAACATGAATGACTAAAGTTTCGGAAGCAGTGGCTTGAGAAATTCTTCTCAGCCTGGAGTGTAGGAAAGCTGCACAGTTGTGTGGTTGTGATTGTTGTTGATTTTTAATTTCCATCCCACCAAAGAAGCAGTGAATAAAAATGAGGGAGATTTGTTTTTTCTTTTCTTTTTTTTTTTTTTTTAAGGAAGCTGCAGTTTCATTCTCATTGCCAGTGGTATTTATCAAGAATATCGTTACTTTCCTGGAGTTGATTCTTTGGGTGACTAAGACTCCTTAGAACCAAGAATGCAAGCACAAACTCCGAAGGCCTAATTAAAAGTATGATTCTTGCCCTGGTGCATTAACACTAACTCTTTTGTTAGCATCCCATGAGAAGAAACACCTCAACTCAAATCACATTTTCCTACCTCCTCCCTTGCCAGTTCCGCCACTTTTTCATTAGCTAATCCCAATTAAAACACTTTGTTACTAACGCCATAAATCTCTGCCACTCTCAATAAGCATAAATTATACGGCGAATAACTATATTCTATGTCTATCCAGAAAAATAACACCTCCCACCCCCCTCCTGTTTTTTGCCATCTTGGGACTCCGAGCTTCTAAGTCAACAGTCACGGTTTTTAATCTGGGCTCCCCGCCCCCTCTAATTACTTACCTATAAAGTTAAACTTTTTTAAAGAAGAAAATTACCACCAAGGCCCTTCTCTAAACTTAATCATAAACTGAGCTTTTCTTCCTGTTTGTGAACAATTTGAGGTAGTAGGAAAGGCTTGGTCATTATATTTAAAGCTAACTCTGCCATTTATCAATGGAATGACCTGAAACAGCCATCCTGGCTCACACCTGGGCCTGAATCATAAACGGAGGAGACCAACCTCATGGGATTTTTGTTTCAAAATTAATTAAGACACATGTAGACGGTGTTTAGCACAGTGCCTGGCACAAAATGTGGGCTCGTATTGTATAAAGCGAAGCAGTGATTTTGTTTGTTTCTCTCATGGTCAGCAATTGCTTAACCCAACATTTCATATACTAAACTAACCAAAAGAAACATACCTCATCCTGTGATTGATTTTCAAGCTCATTTATTCCTCATTTCTCTGTGGTTTAATTTAATTAAATTGTGCAGCCTATCAAATATTGATTTTAATAAAATCTTGATTAAGATTTGAGCAATTATCAAACACACTTATTCACACTATTCTTGCATTTCAATAGAACCAACCTCAAAAACCAATTTGCTTTTAAAATAAAGAAGTTATTTTATATATATTCTTCAGTACATTTTCAGAAATAGAGAAAAAATGGCCTCCCGTTGTTGTCATTAGCCAAGATAAGCAGCAATGTCTGACTAGGGTTTTAAAAAACTTAATCCAGTGATTATTTCATCCTCAATGAATGGTAGGAAGGGAAACTCAAAAAAAAAATTAACTCCTTTAATAAACATTGATTTGGCTCCTACTGCGTACGAAGTACTATTTTACCCAATGCAAGTAGATGTAAGGAAAAGCTAATTATGCAGTAAGTTTTAATGTATGTGGAAAAATTCAGCCACACTTAAAAGTTTTTGACTTTATTAAATAATAACCAGAGAACTACATTTATTCCAAACCTTAAAATTACTCTGTTGTGTAATTTACGAATATAGTCTCATTATTAGGAGAATCTAATGTAAATGTGATGGTATAAATTATCAATAGTATTATATTAGCAATTAACCATAAGTATAAGACATTTAATAAGTTAAATATTTGGTTTGAAAGTTAAGTGCTAAAAAAACTGTTTAGCCGATAGCTGTCACAGCAGCACCACCTAGAGGCCTTTGAGGAGTAACACAGATCATTTCCCCAAACTTGCCTTCTTTCTTAGAGACAAAGAGAAGTAGTTACTCCATTTCAGCATCTTGTGTCACTGAAAGCATTTTAATTCTATTAAGCATATTCTTAAATCTTGAAATATTTACACAATAGCTAAATGAAATTGAATAACCTTAAAATCACAATGCATTTTGGCAAAAGATGCCAATATTCCCCCCCGGCATAGGAGATGAAACTGGGCAAATATGGGAGCAGCCCAGGTCCTGGGACGTTACAACGTGAGACACAGGCATCCTCTCTCTAACACGCACCTCCTTATTCTGTCTTGATCGCAACCACATGAGCGCCCAGGCCGACTGCACATTTGGTAGCACTTCAAAGTTATATTCCTGAGCTACTGCCAAAGTGTAGTTAGAGATGTTGAGAAGAAATTAACTTTCCATTGTTAACATCGTTTATATCAACAGATTCACTTACTAATTCCCTTCCACTAGCCAAAGTTGAACTAACGTTCTGGAGGTGGAAGTGAAAGAAAAATGACAAAATAATTTTCTTTTTTATTGTTTCTCATCCTCTCTTCTGTCGTCTTTTATAATTTTTCTCAAAAACTACCTTGGATTAAAATTTAGATGATAAAACAAGTCAGTTCTTCATAGAAATGAGAACACTCCTTACATTATTTGGTTTCAGAATTTCAGCAGACTGTGCTGACCATCAGCTGACTGCAGCTTCACAGGCGAATGGCAAAAACAAAAACAAAACAAAACAAAACCACATTTACTGCATATACAAGTGAGGGCTAGTGAGGCACAAAAGTACCACTCATCTTCATTTCCACTTGAGGGCATTGTCTGCCTCAGTGAGGCGAAGGTGCTGCGTCATATTTTGCCAGTCAGTGCATCAAATGCAGAAGTCTGCATTAACCTGTACTTTCTTGCCTCCATATATGAAGCCAGGGTTCCTACCTGAGCACACTAGTAAAGGAAGGCAGCAGATCCATTCATGCACATGCTCTGAATTTCAGGTAATGCACGTGAGTACAGTTAACCAAAATAATACTAGGTTTTGCCTAGAGAAGTTTTTTCCCCATCCTGTATGCTAAAGTCATAACTGAAATCACCTCAAACTGTGGTAACTTTAGTTCTTTGAAACATCAAGCTTTTCTTGCACCTGTTTTTCCCTCTGTTCCACCCCTACAACTACTCACCTAACTAGTATCCAAGTCTCCTTTGGATCTCAGCTTAGATAGCACTAGTACAGGATTCCTTCTAGGATCCCCTTACACTGGGTTAGGATGACTTTCTATGTGTACCATTTGCAACCTATGCTTCTCCTATTGGGACACTTGGTGTGCAGCTTTGCAACTGTTTGTTTTTTAACCATATCCCCCACAAGGCTGTAGGCACTGTGCAAGCAGGGGATATATTTATCTTATTTATAGTTGTATTCCCTTCACCCCCATGATTCTGCCTCAAATATTCCATCAATATTGCTGAAGGAATGACTGTCCCACATGAGTCTGCTTTATCTTGGGAGGGACTCTAATGTTCTATTCATAGTCTCCATTAATTTGCCTTCCAAGCATGTGCCTCAGCATCCACCATTTTGCTCCCACTCTTACCTTGTTCTTTTAATATCCAAAGTGGTCAGAAGAAGTGATCAAGATTCAATAAGGTAAGCTGTCTCCTGATGGTCAAGGCATTCTCTTCACCATCTCCAGGCTCCTTATAGGATCCACAGAGAAATCATCCCAATTTCTGAGTCAGCTGCAAGAGAAGAAGTCAACCAAATAGATTTACAAAAGGGATCATGCTGGAATGTCTGGTGTGACATTACAAGGCATCATCCTCCCTGGGAAGGAGATGCAAGTCCTTCCTTTTGCCAATAAGGTAACAATGTCCTCTTCTCTCTTGTATGCAGCTGGCAGAACAAAACAGGAGGAGGACAAGGGAGCTCAGCCTTGTTTCTTGCTCGACCACTTATTGTGTCCATGACAGGTTATATTTTGGAACAAGAATAGCATAGAGCCATCTAGATAACTTGGAGGATATACAATAAGCACTCCAAGACAGAAGCAGAACTATCCTGGGGAAAGTTCCAGAATGGAGTGAAATAAGATTCACCACTCTGGATCCTTATTCCACCATTTGGTTTCTTTACCTCAGACACAACATCTGCAAAACGGAGCCAAGCTCTACAAATTCAAAGGGATATTATAAGGGCAACTGAGACAGAGCGCATGGAAGTGCTTGGAAAACTATGCTCAGGAAGCAAAAAATAAGAGATCAATGTTTATAGAAGAGCAGCAGACTGCCATACTATCCACTATCCAATATCCTTAGGTTATAAAGGTCAGAGGACAATGTTTCACTGCCTTCACCCTGAGCAATGTTTACTTCAATTAGCAAATTAAACTTAGAGCAAAATTGGCCCAGCATATATTAAATGATAATCCGTGGATCCTGAGCATAAGAACCAGGTAGTGATCATTTTGTGTCAAATACAGGAGAAACGGCGTATACAATTACTCTGTATTGTTTTCATACTTACAATTCTGTAGATGAAAATATACATGCAGAACGTGGTAAGTAAACATATCTCAGCTGACTCTCTTAGAAAAGACTCATAGCCTTTATTCATTCATAAAAGCGTGTTTTTAATTACTGGAACCTGGCAACACACAGCATGAGAATTTCCCCAGACAAAAGACATCAAGTCACATTTTTTCAAGAGACACAGAAAACCCCAAACAGGATAAATGCAAAGAAAACCACACATAATAAAACTGCAATGTATGCACGAAAAGATAGAGTTGCAAAATATTTAAAGCAAAAAGTGACAGAACTGAAAGAAGAAATGGACACATCCTCGATGATAGCTGAAGAATTCAACATCCCTCTCTCAACAAGTGATAGAAAAAACAGACAGAAATATCACCAAAGATAGAGAACTTAACAATATCATCAACCAACAGAATTTAATTGACATTTATAGAACACTGCCACCATTTTAACTGGCATTTCCCCAATGGCTAACGATGCTGAGTATCTTTTGGACAGTGTTTATTTACCATCTGTATATCTTCTCCAATGGAAAGTTTCTATCTGTCTTTTGCCCATTTTTGAACTGGATCACGTTGTTGTTGTAGTTGCTGTTTTTGTTTATTTTACTGTTGAGTTTTGAGAGTTCCTTAATTATCAGATAGTAGTCCTTAGTCAGACACATGATGTGCAAACATTTGCTCCCAGTCTGCAACTTGTCTATTATTCTCTTAAGATGGTCTCTTGAAGAGCAAAAGTTTTAACTTTGATAAAGTCTAATGTATTAATTTTTCCTTTTATGAATTGTATTTTTGGTGCCAAGTCTAAGAACTCTCAAACTCTCACCATCATACTTTTCTTTTTCTTTCTTTTTCAGTGCATGTACTGTCTTTATCTGATTTGAAGACCAGGGTAATGCTAACTTTATAAGATCATGAAATGAGTTGGGAAGTTATCCCCCTTCTTCTATTCTCTGAAAGAGACTGTGTAGAAACAATGGTAATTCTTCTTCAAGTATTTGGTGGAATTATTTAGTGAGTCCCCAGTGGAGATTTCTTTTGGGGAATGTTTTAGTCTGTTAGTCGCCAATACCAGCTATGACCATGTGACCAGTTGTGGAAATGAGGACCGTAATTGTCATGAGTATTGTCTCCTTATTTTGTTAAGAATATGTTTGTGCATGTATATACTTGTTCTAAGAAAGATATTTTCTTAGTACTCATTTTATTTCCTTTCTTTGTCCTTTATCATGTGACATAAGATTTATTGACTTCGCATCAGCATTTAAGTATTGTTAACTTTATGTAATAGCATTTAGGTTGGGGATTGATGCATTTCCCATCAAATGATAGCTGCGTTGTGTTAAGCATAATTATGACCTTATTACTGTCTTTATTTGAAGATTATGTATGATTTTAGGAGACATGTATGGGTTGAAGTTGACAAGGGGTGGACTTCAGATGGTTAATATTGAGTGTCAACTTGATTGGATTGAAGGGTGCAAAGTATTGTTTCTGGGTGTGTCTGTGAGGGTGTTGCCAAAGGAGATTAACATTTGAGTCAGTGGACTGGGAGAGGCAGACCCACCCTCAATCTGGGTGGGCACCATCTAATCAGCCGCCAGCATGGCCAGAATAAAAGCAAGCAGAAGAGCGTGGAAAGATAAGACTGGTTTAGTCTTCTGGCCTCCATCTTTCTCCCACACTGGATGCTTCTTGCCCTCGAACTTCAGACTCCAGTTCTTCAGCTTTGGGACTCCGATTGGCTTCCCTGCTCCTCAGCTTGCAAACGGCCTATTGCGGGATCTCAACTTGGGATGATGTGACCCCTTACTTCTTAACTCCCCTTTATATATACGTCTAACCTATTAGTTTTGTCCCTCTAGAGAACCCAAATACAGGGAACTTTTAAATATGAAATCAATTTATTTTGCTCTTCTTTTCCAAGTTTCTTGAAGTGAGAGTTCAGATTAAGACTTTTCATTTTTTCTAATGAGAGCATGTAGTGCTATAATTTTCCCTCTCATAACTGCTTTAGTTGAGTTCCACAAATTTAATACAGCTTATGTCATTGTCTTTCAGTTCATTGTATTTACAAAATTTCTTTAAACTAGAATTATTTGGAAATGTGTTGGTTAGTTTTCAGGTGTTTGCAGATATTCCCATTATCTTTCTGTTATTGATTTCTATCTTGAATCCACTGTAGTCTGAGAACACACTCTGTATAATTTCCATTCTTTTAAATTTGTTAAGGTTTGTCTTACAGTCCAGGATGCAGCCTATCTTGTATGTGTTCTCTGGGCACTTGAAAAGGATATGTTAGAGGACGGAGGGAATTATGGCAATATGAGAGTGGAAATCTATATTCTCCTCTTGGGCATTGATGGTTTTTTTGTATGGTGTTTGGATGGAGTAGAGTGGTTGTTTTCCGAGAGTTTCCATCTTTTTAGGCTGGATGTATGTTGATCCTTTGGCTAGAAAAGGAGGCTTTTATTGGGACTTTTTAAAAATTTCTGTGCCTGTTGACATTTCTGGGCTTCCAGTTCCTTGTGCAAGATATCCTAGTCTAGGATATATGACAAAAAGAAAACTCAAGTAACTTATAAGCATGTCATTCCTTTGATCCCAAAGTCCCTAGCCAATCTGTCTGGCTATCTCAATCTCTTCTGTTTGTATATATAATCTTCAGAGTTATTAGGTATCATCAGGGGAAAGAATAGGGAGAAGCATGTCTACTTCATCTTTACAGAAACAGAAATCGCGATCATTTTTGGTTTCTTAATTCATTCTGACAACCTCTTTTAATGAGTCTGCTTATGTGATGTATATATAATGTAATTTTGATGTATCAGGATTTGATTGTTCCATCTATTTACCATTCTACTGTTTGCCCTTTTCCCTTTTGGGTTGCCCAAACAATTTTTCATATGATAATTTATCTACTTTGCCTTTTTACTATATCAGTTTGTAATTTTTCTTATTGGTTGCCCAAGAGATTATATAGTTCATTTTCCACAATATACTTAGAACCAATACCTGACCACTTCAATTGAAATGTAGGAAACTTACTCTCAGATTGGTCTCTTTACCCTCCCTTTACCTTGTAGTTACCTTACATATTACATTTACATACCTTCAAAACCCTAAACAATGCTATAATCTTTGGCAACCATCAACCACATTTTAAAGAATTCAAGCAAGTAACAGTCTATTACAGGATACAGCAAACTTTTTCTGCTGAGGGCCAGATAGTAAGTATTTTAGGCTTTGCAGACCATACAGTGTCTGCCACAACTATTCAACTCTGTGCTTATAGAGTGAAAACAGCCAAAGACAACACATAGCCAAAAGAGCATAACTGTGTTTCAATGAAATTATATTAATCAAAATAGATGGTGAGCTGAATTTGGCACGTGGGCTATAGTTTGCTGACCCCTAGTCTATTATAGTTACCCAGATATTTTTAGTTTCTTCTTCCTTCATTTCTGATGCTGCATGTTTCCCTCTCCCATCATTTCACTTCTGTCTTAAGAACTTCATTTAACGTTTTTTCAGTGCATGTTTGCTGGCACTAAATTTTCCTTCATCTAAGAATGTCTTGGCCGGGCATGGTGGCTCACACCTGTAATCCCAGCACTTTGGGAGGCCGAGGCCGGTGGATCATGAGCTCAGGAGATTGAGACCATCCTGGCTAACATGGTGACACCCCGTCTCTACCAAAAATACCAAAAAAATTAGCCGGGCATGGTGGCAGGTGCCTGTAGTCCCAGCTACTCAGGAGACTGAGGCAGGAGAATGGTGTGAACCCGGGAGGCGGAGCTTGCAGTGAGCCAATATCGCGCCACTGCACTCCAGCCTGGATGACAGCGAGACTCCGACAAAAAAAAAAGAAAAAAGAAAAAAAAAGTCTTTATTTCTCCCTTTATTACTGAAGGGTATTTTTGCTGTATATAGAAAATTGGGTCGAGAATATTTTCTCTCAGCTCTTTAAACAAATAGTTCCCCTCCAAGGTTTATGACCAGGAATTACTCCTGTATAAATCAAAATCATTTCTCTATAAATATACTTCATTTTTCTCTGACTGTTTTCAAACTTTTTCTTTGTCTTCAGATTTTAGCATTTTGATTATGATGTATTTGGATATAAATTCATTTTTGTTTTGTTCCCCTCTTTGGGATTCATTGAGCTCCTTGAATCTATAGATTTGTATCTTTTAAGATATACTT